TGAGTTCACTGTACTATAGTGGTACAGTGACACAGTCACCAGATCTCAACCCAATAGGCTATGTGCACAACTGTAGTTTCGAACTTCCGCTTTTGTCAGAAGTCGGCGTATCAGTTTCCGGTCTACGACTGGTCATCCGCATCCACTAATAAACAAACAAGATGAGTGCTGCTGTTGTACGGAAAAAAGAGTTCTTAAACACATCTAAGTTTCTAAGAACTGTAGGTGGATCTAACGTCCGTTTCACACCCGTTTGCAGTGTGTGTTGCGGTGCAGGAGTGTGCTGTTAGTGCGTTCATATTATGATGCGTTTGCACAGTGAATAACTGATCCGCGGCTGTACAACAAACACATACTTAATATTTTTATTTAAAGTCCAGAAGTTATGCTGCAACTTATTTTTAAAAACAAAAAGTTGTGTCAGCATTGCGATTCTTAGTATGCACATTTTTAAAACACAATTTAAACAATGTAAGTTAGGGCTATTACTCCATGCATTACAAGTTGCTCAAGCAAGTGGTCAAGTCAAGTCAAGTCACATTTATTTATATAGCGCTTTTCACAATACAGATTGTATCAAAGCAGCTTCACAGTGATAACATGAAAGTAGCACAACACAGATCAACAACATTGCTAAACACTAAATAACCCCAACTGAGCAAGCTCAAAGCAAGCCAAAAGCAAGGCGACAGTGGCAAGGAACCAAACTCCATCAGATTGGATGGAGAAAAAACCTTGGGAGAACCCAGGCTCAGTCGGGGGCCAGTTCTCCTCTGGCTTACATTCATATTGTTTAAATATAAATATTAAATATAAATATTGTTTATGAATCAAACGGCGCCATAACATATCGCAGGCGTTGAGTCGTCTCATCACAGGCGTTGAGTCGTCTCATCACAGGCGTTGGGGCATCCGAAATCCCCGTGAGAGGCTGGACACAAAACTGGACCCGACGAACGCCATTTTTCTCGGGACAAGCGTCCCGAGATAACAGCAGAAAGGCAGATGGGAAATAAATAGCATAGCTGATGTTCATAATGATTTCCGTTATAACTCACAAACTCTCCGTAACCCGAACTCTCCGCAACCCAACCATACGCGCCGACCATACGCGCCGACCCGTTTGTCTAAAAGGCTGTCGAGCCCCACTGGTGCGTTAAGCAGTTTCAGTGGCAAACGGTTCCGTATGGCATAACAGAGGACTAGAAGGTAAGCATTATGTGAATGCTTGACTAAAGAGATGTGTCAGCGAGTCAGAGGCTCGGACCGTATCGGGAAGGCCATTCCAGAGTTTTGGAGCTAAATGCGAGAACGCCCTCCCTCCTTTACTGGACTTCGATATCCTAGGAATGACCAGAAGCCTTGAATTTAGTGATCTTAAGGAACGCGGTGGATTGTAGGGCGAAAGAAGGTCCGTTAAGTACATAGGTGCTAAACCATTTAGGGCTTTATAGGTCAGTAGTAGTATTTTGTAGTTGATGCGGAACTTAAAAGGTAACCAGTGTAGAGATGATAAAATCGGTGTTATATGATCATATTTTCTTGACCTAGTAAGAACTCTAGCAGCTGCATTTTGTACTAACTGTAGCTTGTTTATTGAGGATGCAGGACAACCGGCTAATAAAGCATTACAGTAATCTAGTCTCGAGGTCATGAATGCGTGAACTAATTTTTCTGCCTCAGAAATAGATAGCATGTTACGTAGCTTAGCAATGTTTCTAAGGTGGAAAAAGGCTGTTCTTGTAACATATGAAATATGATTTTCGAAAGACATGTTGCGGTCTAGTATAACACCCAGGTCTTTTACTGTAGTGGATAAAGTAACAGGACATTCATCTATATTAAAGTTGTATTGTGAGAGGTTTTGTGAGTAGTTTTTTGGACCAATAAGTAATACCTCCGTTTTATCTGAATTTAATAGCAGGAAATTACGCGTCATCCAGCATTTTATATCTTTGAGACACTCTGTCATTTTAGATGAGTTAGTGTTTTCATCTGGTCGTGATGAAATATATAATTGAGTGTCGTCAGCGTAACAGTGGAAATTAATTCCATGTTTTCTTATAATATTACCAAGTGGCAGCATATATATTGAGAATAGCAGAGGGCCTAAAACCGATCCTTGTGGTACTCCATAGTCTACTGACGTTATCTTTGATTTTTTCCCATTTAAACAGACAAAATGAGAACGGTCCGATAAGTACGATCTAAACCAGCTTAATGCCTGTCCCTGGACACCGGTGAAGTTTTGTAGTCGATCCAAGAGTATTATATGATCTATAGTGTCGAACGCAGCGCTAAGATCAAGTAGGACTAGTATTGAAATACGGCCTTGGTCGGAAGCTAAAAGTAAATCATTTGTAATTTTAACTAGCGCAGTTTCTGTACTATGATGCGGTCTGAATCCTGACTGGAATTTTTCATAGATATCATTTTCTTGCAAAAAAGAGCACAATTGAGCGGACACTACTTTTTCAAGTATTTTGGACGTAAATGGAAGATTTGAAATGGGTCTGTAATTTGCCAAGTTATTTGGATCTAATTGCGGTTTCTTAATGAGCGGTTTTATTACAGCCAGCTTGTATATTTTTGGGACATGACCTAAAGATAAAGACGAGTTAATAATATTGAGGAGAGGCTCTTCCACTACAGGTAATAGTTCTTTCAGTAGTTTAGTGGGTATTGGATCTAATAAACAAGTTGTTGGTTTAGATGCAATGATAAGTTTATTTAGCTCCTCCTGTCCTATCGTTGTAAAGCGGTTTAGTTGTTCTAGAGGGTCCATAATTGAAGCTGAATCATAAGACACCATAGCGGATTGTACATTTATAATTTTGTTTCGGATGCTTTCTATTTTCGCATTGAAGTAATTCATAAAATCATTACTACTAAACTGTAACGGTATATTTTGCTCTGGTGATGTCTGTTTATTTGTTAGTCTAGCCACGGTGTTAAATAAAAACCTTGGATTATTTTGGTTATTTTCGATTAGTTTGTGGAGATGCTCAGCCCTGGCTGTTTTTAGTGTGTTTTTATAACGTGACATACTGTCTTTCCACGCGATTCTAAAGACCTCTAAATTAGTTTGTTTCCATTTACGCTCTAAGTTGCGAGTTTCTCTCTTGATAGCATGCGTAGCACTGTTGTACCATGGTGCTTTAATTTTCTCTCGAACCTTTTTTAATCTAATTGGCGCAACAATATCTAATGTACTAGTAAGAATGGTGCTTAAACTGCTAGTCATTTCCTCTAATTCATCTGTTTGTTTGGGTTCACTTTGCAGCTTAGATAGATCAGGTAAGCTATTTGAAAATCCATCTATAGTGGTTGGAAGGATTCCTCTGGTTTTCCTCTGGTCAAATATTTCCTATATTAAAATCGCAAATAATTTAAATTAAAACTTGAAATTGACAAAAGCAGCCGACTTGCCTTTTCTTTTGCATTTTAATTTTAAAACAATAGATCTTGCATGTCACAAAACTTATTTTTCCACCGCCACTATCGAGACGAGTTCATTCTGTCGCCTGGTTTAAGTAAATTGTAGTTTTCCTTGATTAAATGTGCATTTATGGTGAGATTACTACATGTTATTTAATTAAACGCATTTATGGTGAAATTACTACATTTTCAGGTCAATCTTTATCATTTTGACCACCAGCGTTTGCAGCACAGCAGAAATAGATTCGGTGTGGAAACGATCGCTGTGCTGCTGTTATATACCACATCAGTGAAAAGTGAAAGCCCTAACCTGTTAACATGGTGCGTAGGAGACTGCTGTGCGGCACTTTGCTCTGCTTCAAGTCGCTAACAGCCATTTGAGCTTCTACTGCTTCCTGATAAACACCAACCTTCGTGCGCAGTGGCTGCACAAAATAGACATTTTGATCAACGCGCAAAAAATTATAAAAATATTCAGCCCATTCTCACTCCCAAGGCGTCACCTAGCTGACGCCTTGGGAAGCATTTGGACATGCTTCAATATCTGACGCTTTAGGCGCCCTTTAGCGTCAGTTAGATGACGCCCTAGGATCGCGTGTACCCTACCCCCACCCCACACCTAAACCTAACCGCGTCCTCTAACTGACGCTTTCCTTTAGCGTCAGTTAGATGACGCCGTAGGATCGCGTCATGTAAGTGACGCTAAAGGGTGCCTAAAACGTCAAATATTGAAGCATGGTCAAAGGTGACGCCTTGGGGTGAGAATGCGTTGAAATATTAAGTATGTGTTTGTTGTACAGCCGCGGATCAGTTATTCACTGTGCAAACGCATCATAATATGAACGCACTAACAGCACACTCCTGCACCGCAACACACACTGCAAACGGGTGTGAAACGGACGTTAGATCCACTACAGTTCTTAGAAACTTAGATGTGTTTAAGAACTCTTTTTTCGTAGAACAGCAGCACTCATCTTGTTTGTTTATTAGTGGATGCGGATGGCCAGTCGTAGACCGGAAACTGATACGCCGACTTCTGACAAAAGCGGAAGTTCGAAACTACAGTTGTGCACATAGCCCATAGAGTATCTTTGGGATGTGGTGGAATGGGAGCTTTGTGCCCTGGATGTGCATCCCACAAATCTGATCTCCATCAACTACAAAATGCTACCCTATCAATATGGGCCAACATTTCTAAAGAATGCTTCCAGCACCTTGTTGAATCAATGTCACGTAGAATTAAGGCAGTTCTGAAGGTGAAAGGAAGTCAAATACAGTATTAGTATGGTGTTCCTTATAATACTTTAGGTGAGTGTGTGTATATATATATATATATATATACATATATGTATATGTGTGTATATATATCTATATATATACATATACACACACATACATGTATATGTATTTATATGTGTATCTGTGTGTGTGTGTGTGGGGGGGGGGGGCTATGTATGTAACAAAGGCAAGCTATTTAGTATAGGCAATAACAATATACACTCCGTTTATTCAGATCAACCTAATCATTTGAATCGTTTTTTGTTGTTGTTTTGTTTCATCAGAACACAAGATGTGGCAACAGAACACAAACAGGATATGGCTTTAAACCCTACTTCTAATCCTGGAAAACCAGAGGAAGATGCCCCTCAGCCTAAAACTTGATATTTAACCTTCCATGTGTATCTTGGAAATTGCTTTTTTCTTGTGAAAATGCAAAAGAAAATATGGTTTCACTTTATTTTGATAGTCCCTTTAACACATTCTGTTGACTAAGTAACGTTGCAGCTACATGTCTACTAACTCTAGATAGAGAGTTACTAAAGTATTAGGAGACTGGTAGGGTTGAGGCCCCGATATACTAATGAGAAAGTTCTTTTTCGTTCTTATTTTTGGGTTAAAACGAAGTTCAAAATATGTGAGCAGCGATATACTGTTAGTGAATACCTGACGCTGCCAACACTGCTGAGAGCAACGATTAGATGAATATGTAAATATGTGCTGCGGGCTTCTCTCAATAACAAACTAAACACACAATAATATTAAGAAAACAGTTTTTATTTTTTTAAATAAAGCATAAGAAGAGATTGTTTATACAATGTTTATACAATAGATTGTTTGAAATCAAGCAGTTTTACCACATTAAACAACAGTGTCAGTGTCTCTTTACATCAGAAATACAACTTTATTTTCTACTATAAAGCAGCTTTCCAGCATGTTCATAATCTAACTTGTGAGTCACGTCTCACCTCAACAGACTGGAACAGGAGAAATTAACTGGAAAATATTTCCATGAGAAAGAAGGCAGAGCCTTCATGCACACCTACCTTTATTGCCATGGACCAATGGTAGTACAAAGGTGTTCCTTTGTCAAGCTGTTTCGGACTCCCAAAACGAACTCCAAATGAAGTTCATTTTGGCCAGATTTTGTTCGAAATTACGGCATATCGGTTCATTCTTCGTTTTCGCTTGAAGTATAGTATAACCTCAGGTATGTCAAGAATAGGGTTAGAAAGGGTTAGAATAAGTTGACATGTACTTGCAAAGTTACTTATAGTTTGTAGAAAGTCTGTTGGGGGACCGTCACAATAAAGAGTTAGCAGGTATTAAATAGAGGGTCAACTAATAGTCAAATGAGAGTTAGTTGACATGTAGTGGCAAACTTCCTTATAGTCAACTGAATGTTTCAAAAGGGGACCGTCAAAATAAAGTGTTACCGAAAATCTATGCTTTTAACTGTCTCTTATCTTTTCTAATTTCTTAGTAAATGTAAACCGTTTTTTTATTGTCACCTTTTTCTTAATGTTATTAGTATGGCTCTCACTGTGTGTGGTTTTGTGGAGATACTTGTTTTGCATTCTCTTCACCACAGCCATTTCGATTAGCCTTTATTAAAATTACCTCTTATGACTGTGAATTACACCTGTACATATTATAAATAAATCAGTAGATTACTGAAATGATATCATGATTTCCCCATGTGGTGAAATGTTGTGATATTGTAGGCGGATATAAAGTGATTGTGGTATGTGTTGGATGATACATAACTGAATCATTAAGAAGGATACCCATTAAACTATTTAATTTGTACTGATAAGGTGGGTTAGGATAATCCACCTGATAATTAACCCACCTGGGCAAGTTTAGGATAGCTCAGTCTCCCTGAGCAAGTCACTACCCAGCAAACAAATTTAGGTTCTGGTAACGTTCTGGGAATGTTCTCCTTATGTTATAAAAATGAAACCTAAAAATAACCAACATGGAACTTTCCAATAGTGTTCTTGTTTGGTTCTCAAAAAAATAACCTCATGGGACCATTTGGGAATGTTAGGGGAACGTTCTGTGTTTGCTGGAAGCACCAGCAGTGGTAACACTGGCAGGTACTTGGCTCTGAGATGCTAATACAAATGTAGCTGGTGTAGCATCAGGTTAAAATGGCAAGAGGTGATTATATTTATCTTCTAAACATTCAGTGGGTCTTGAACATAGAGAGGGAGACATCAAATTATAATGTACGGTGTTCGTTGAGAGGTTATCATCTTTTTCTGTTTAGTTTTTGGGTTCCCGTTTTCCCTTGTTTCCTAGTTAGTCTCCTAGATTGTTAATTAGTTTATCACGCCTGTTTCTGTTCTCCCTGATTCCCCCACATGTATTTAAGACCTGAGTTTTCCTTGGTTCCCTTTCAGATATTGTCAATCTCTTAAGTTTTCCATTGTGGATTTATTAAATAAAGACTCTTTTGTTTTCATCTCCTTTGTTGTGCGCATCATTACAGCCACACCTGACAACCACATAGCTGTTGGATTGAAGAGTATGGTAAAGTACAACTGCAAAACCCAAGCTATCTGCATCCTTACTGTAATACTGTCTGACCTGGTTGCAAACAATACAAAAACCTGCCCTTCAGCTCAGTAATAAGATTATGTAAGCCTGGAGAGTAGTTGACCATGGGATGGCAGGCTTATTGAATAAGATTAGGAAGATGGAGTAAAGCTGCATGTATGTCAAAATGCTCCCAATAGCATCTCCAGCAGATGTTTGGAGGATCACACTGGATGTTCTGCTAGGCCATTAGACTGTAGGTAGTGAGGACTACTCGGAATGTGCTCAAATTCCCATGTAGGTGTAACCCCAGTCGAAAGTCAATTTCAGGGCTGTAAAAAAAAAACTTGGATCATTCAAGGAGGTTGGGTTTTTATCCTCAGGCCCAGTATGTAGACATTGTTTACAAGCATGGAGAAGGATGATCGTTCAAATTTTATTGTATGTTCAATGAATATTTATGTCTTTGTGTCAGTTTATTGTTTAAAATGGTCATTTCATATGCATATCCTGGATGTTTAAAACAATGGGCCGGTACTTCAACCTATGTCTAGCTTGACCTCTCCAACGTGATTATGTAATGCCTGGCATGTTGCAGACCAGCACAAGACGAACTGTGGTTAAAAAGTATACATTTCATTTTTTTTTTTTTTTTAGAAAATGACCAATCGTTTCTAGATAAGACCCTTTTCCTCAGCTGGGATCGTGCAGAGCCCTTTGAAGCAATCCAAAGCCCTTTGAAACTGCACTGATTTGGATTTTAACAATTTGTTTACCGTTGGAAGTCCATTGTGTGGAGAAAAATGTTTTCATGTGTGAAATGTTTTCCACAAAAAAAATTAATTTATTTTCCACTGAAGAAAGAAAGACATGCACATCTTGGATGGCATTGGGGTGAGTAAATTATCAGTAAATTTATACCTAAATTAATACTTTAAGCTGTACCTTATCATTAATACATGTTTCCCAAAATGTTCTTAGTTAAGTATTCACCTTATTTTCCACCACAACAAGGGTGACGATTGCGTTTGTTTTTGTCATCGTACTTCCAGCTGAGAGGGACCTAAGGCCCCGTCCACACTACTGCGAGACCTTTTGCTACGTTTGCACCTCCCGTCCAGACTAAAACGTAAAAAACAAAGACCTAAAACGGAGAAGTTTACAAAAGCTGTAGCTCCGTTTTGCGTTTTTAATCTCCAGAGGGCGTTTTAGTGTAGACGGGACAAAACGGAGGAGTTTAGAAATGATGACGCAGAGGCTTACGCTCAGCTCTATGATTGGGTGTCATCAGTCATGACGCGTCTTTCCCTGTTTTGTCATCCACTGTTTACACCGGCACGCGCATGCCCAGTGTTGGTGAATGGTCACGTGATCCGTGTTTTCAGTCATTTTAATGTGGACGGAGATCAATTTTAATACGCAGATAAAACGCTGGTGTGGACGGAGATCGTATTCGTTTTAATTCTCCGTTTTTAAACGAAAACGCAGTAGTGTGGATGGGGCCTAAATGTTAAGCGTTATATGCTCAGTTAAGGGCTGCCACAACAATTGGATTAAGAGGAGAGAACTATTGAACCAACGTGTTATGAACAATTTAAAGCAGAGTGTTGTGGTGCCCTTTACAATTTACACCCACACTCTTAGAAAAAGGGGTTCATTGGGGTTCTATATTACCCCTTTTCCACCAAAAAAAGAACTGGTTCGGAACTGGTGCTGGTTCAAAGTTGGTTCGGAGTTGGTTCAACTTGCGAACCGCTTCAGAACCTGTTTGTTTTTCCACTGACTAGAGCGTCCAGGGAACGACGTTGTTACGTCACTGTGTACGTCGTCATACGTCTTAGCTAGAAACGCTTGCAAGTACAACATTACTTTGGGATTATCTCTAACTTGTGTACCAAGAAGGCTTTAAAAACAATTGAAATATGTAAGTCTTTTAATCTTTTCGTTTGATATAATCAAGTTATGTACCCCTGTCTTGTGTCTTTTTTTTTTAACCCTAACCCTAACCCTTCTTTGCTTATAATGTCTTCAATAAAAAAAATAAAAAAAATAGAAACGCTTGCGCCAATTTCAAGCATAACAATTACAAAGGCGGACTCCATCGTGTTTCTGCAAATGTTTCTCTTGGCTTTGCGATCCTTTATTATGGTCAGAAAAGATGTTCAGAACACATCTAAACCTGCCCCAGCCCCGACGTAAGCATGACGTAGTAAAAAAACGGTTCTAGTCCAGCAAAGAGTTGGTGCCACTTTGGAACCAGTTCCCCTGGCCGAGAACCGGTTCTTTGGCTGTCGAAACACAAAGAACTGGTTCGCGCGCAGGCAGCGGCTCCGAACCGGCTCTCAAAATGCTTTGGTGGAAAGGGGCTTATATGAAGGATAGGGTTCTTTACTCAACTCCAAATAACCTTTTATGCTTAAAAGATATATAAAACCTTTTCTTGCACTCCCTAAAGTCGAGGAGCACCTGAGGCAATGACCGACTGACGGACACCCTTACCCCGAGAAATGGTTCGGCTACGATGTTCCTGTAAAGAAGTCAGCATGGGTGCTGAAAAGGTTGTCAGATTCAGGCTTCATTGCTTGTTAGCCTAACGTTAGATTTGTGAAGTGCATTCAATAAATACATTTAAGATCAGCAACAAGCAGTTAACAAAATACAACGAATCTAGCATTTAAAATTTCTTATCTTTCTTTTACTTTGTGATATGGGTCTGAAATAAAGAATGAATGAATGAATAAATATTCATGATTCTTTAGGTAACAGAAGCATCTAGCTCATTGGCTATGGAGCATTGGTCTTAAAAGAAAAATTCTTGAGAAAGGAATCAAAGTAGATGTGCTGACCATCTATTCGAAAGAAAATGTGTGTGGATAATCTGTTCATTCAAAATGAGATAAATAAATAGGTATATAGGTGTCTCATTTCCAATTACATTTTATAAAATAAAGAGCTTTTTTAATTATTATTGTCAGAAGAGTACTGTCTGTGCTCAGTTATTCTCTAAATATAATTATTCTTATTTATATTTTTGTCTGTAATTGCTGTTTTGATCACAACATAGTTCCACAAAGAATGATGAATTTTACAAAAATGTTTTTTCCTTCAATAAACAACTAATATTAATTGTAAAAAAAAAAAAAAATTGTTCAAAATACATTACTGTTTTGACTGGGCTATTGAAGAAGTTGTTGCCCTTGTCAAGTTACAAGGACAATAGAGATCTCCAGCTCAGGATTAAGAGCATATGCAACCACTTGTAGTTTTCGTTTTCTAGTTGTGGCGGTGACCCTGATGTAAGCTTTACAATTTCCACTAGTAAATTATGAAATTACAGGGTTATCCAAAATTTTTTTTTTTTTTTACAAAATCTGGAAATGCAAGTCCCTGCTGCATCACATTTGTGGAGAACATGGTTGGACTCAGGATACCATACGGCACAGATGTCTCCATAGAAACCTCAATCTAGACCAGCAGAGACAGAAGAGGTGGTTCAAAAAAGAGTCTTGTGCGTACCATACCCTGGAGACAATAGTATTGGAGACAATAGTAAAGGTTTTCTGAAGGACCTACACCAAATGTCCCTGTTTAAGCATATAGGCATGTTATAACAACAGCAATGTGTGTAAATGAGGCAAAGGTCAGAGGAGAATGTCACTGTCACTTGCCTCACTGTTTTAATTAATCCAGCTATCCAGTCGCTAAACACTTCCACAATAAACTCCATGAAGGTGCAATTTATGAAGTTTAATCATGAAAAGAGTGAAACTACAAGGAAGAGAAAATACACAAACATGAATTTCACAAAATACATCAAATTCACTAAATCATCAAAACAGTCAAACAGTCAATTACAGATATTGCATTGCAAAGGGCTTTGGTAGGCAAGATGAAGCTGAATGCCTGCAACCATAGACATAATATATACATAGACGCCCTATTGGCCGCTGGAGCGTACGTCAACAGCGCCGCCATATTGAGGAGATCAACTTTCCCATACCTCTCATACCGGGAATTGAGAAAAATGTCTGTTTTGTGCGCTGCTTGGGGCTGTAAAAATCGCCACACAACTGAAAACAGCTTTCGAGGAAGTACCTTTCACAAGCAAGACTGAACGTTTGTTTTTGGTTGTATTTGGTCATGATTTAATTAGTAAGTAACATTTAGAGATTAAATACTACTGTTATTGTGTCACGCAATGTAGTTTTAATAGTTTTTCAGTCGACAATGTAGCTGTTTAAAGCTCAAATATGTGGTTTGTTTATAAAGATAGAGCCTATTTAAAAATTTGATCTGAAGTTTTCGGAGTTGCTGCGCCCCCGCCCAGCGCTCGTCTCCCCCGCCTGGAACAGCCGTACCACGGCCAGTGCTTCTGACGGTTGCCGCTGGCTCGGATGTCTCTAGTCAAGAGGTTAAACATGAGATATAATTCGTATAATTTGTGTTTATCTTTGGTCTCATTAATCTATTAATGGTTCCCTGGTAAATAGTTTTGGCTGAAGGCAAAGTAAAGTTTCATAACTTTATATTTAGGCTATTTTAACAGTATGTTTGACTGAAGCTACTTCTGTTATAATGGCTAGCCTATTACTGATCAATAAAACTGAAATTTAGCACAAAGAGCTAAATATTAAATATATTTTCATAAATGATCCATCAGTTATCAATATTATTGCTAAAATCTGGTCAATCATATAAAATGCTTTTTCCACAATGAGCAAACTTAAATATCTCAGTATGGGGATCTTCACCATTCTTATACAAGAATGTTTTTTATCCAGATAAACGCAGCTCACCCGTTTACTTACATTTAATTACAATGCAGTCTTGACCTCCGCAAAATGGCGGACCCGTTGACGTATCGCAGCAACGCTCCAAAGCGGCCAATAGGGCGTCTATGTATATATTATGTCTATGCCTGCAACC